TGGAACCACTGATCTTTCAGCTAGCAGCCAAGCATTTAACTGTTGTGCCACCAGAGCTCCTCATGACTATATTATGATTGGTATTATTAGTTTAGATATGGGCTCAGTTGCTTCAACCGAATCCAAAGAAGGTTTATTTCTCTCTCAAGTAAAAGTCCAAGATGAAATTGGGGCAGGCATCTGTGCTCCCCAAAGTCAACCAGGGATCTAGATTTCTTCTTTATGTCTCTATCATTCCTTAGGGTGTTCCTTGTCTTAATATTTAAGTTAGCTCACTACTAGCAAGGAAACAGGGAATGGGGAAGAGGAAAAAGAAAGCAAATGACAATTGGCTTCCTTTTTTAAAAAAAAATAATATTTTATCGTGTTTTCAGTGAAAGTTGACATAGCAAATTAGGTTCCCATTTGACAACTCTACACAAGTTATTCAGTGACATTGGTTACATTTTCCACACTATGACAACATTCTCTTTAATTGTGTCTGATCTGTTTCCAGTGCTCCAGTTTCCCTGCTCCCTTACCTTTTCATGTTTACTTGAGAGTAATTGCTGATCTTTTGTTCTCATATAAATGGGTTTTTAACGGAGCACTGTACTCAAGAGTAATATCCTTTATTTTGTGATCCAATCTGTTAATTCACTAAAAGGTGACTTCAGGTGACAGTTTCAGTTCAAGGTTTAAAGAGTATCTTAGGGCGATAGTCTCAGGGAGTCCTCTAGTCTCAACTGGTTCAGTTAAGTTTGGACTTCTTAAGAATTTGAGTTCTGTTCTGAGATTTTCTCCTATTCTATACGGTCTATCTATTGTGGTCCTGATCAGAATGGTTGGTTGGGGTAGCTGGGCACCATCTATTTCTCCTGGTCTCGGCTTCCTTTTAAGGTCTGTTAGAAAGAAGGTGCATATGTCACTTCTGCTCACACTCAACTAGACATGTGGCCAACTCTTGCTGCAAGGGAGTCTGGGAAATGTAGTTTCTATCTGTTGGCCACGTGCCTTGCTAAAACTCTGGCAATATGACTAAAATGGATTTTGTGAGGACAAGTCATCAGGAAAGTCCAATTGCTGGAAAAGAACACCATGGCTGTGGCTGGTAAGGTAGAAGACTGGAAAAGTGGAAGGAGACCCGCGGTGAGACGGATTGACCCAGTGACCAAAACCATGGACTAAAACATAGCAACAATCATGAAGATGGCGCAGGACTAGGCAACATTTCGTTCTGTTACATGTAAGGTTGCCATGAGTTGGAGCTGACTAGATGGCAACTAACAACAACAACATGACTGAAATAAATAAAGAAAAAATAGACATTGGAGGGAAATTCACCACCTCTTAGGAGTCCCTGGGTGGTACAAACAGTTAAGTGTTTGACTACGAGCTGAAATGTTGGTGGTTCAAAGCCACCCAGAGGCACCGGGGAATATGTGCCTGGTGCTCTGCTTCTGAAAGGTCACAGCCTTGAAAACCCAATGGGGCAATTCTACTCTGTACACATGGGGTTGCCATGAGTTGGGATCGACTACTGGCAACTAACAACAACAACAATAAGCTGCCTCTTTCAAATTTGAGATTTTTCTTCAGCCTTTTCAATCAGAATAAGCTGTTCAACATTCAAATCTAACTCAACTCCTTTACCTCATGTTGACTCTCTGGTATTCTCAGGAATTATTCCAAACTCCTTGAAACCTCCTTAAAGCCAGGCATGGCCTGCCCTTCCCCTACTGCTTCACCAGCCTTATCTCTATTATTAGTATCATCCCCATTTTACAGATGAGGAAAAAGAGGCTCTGAGAGATTAAGCCACTTGCTCAAGCGTCAGAGCCAAGATTTTATTCCCCAGAGAAGCATTAGCTATCGTTTATTGAGTATCTATTGTGTGCCTAACGAGACCTGGTGGCACAACAGTTAAGTGCTTGGCTGCTAACCAAAAGATTGGCAGTTCAAACCCACCCAGCTGCTCCACAGGAGGAAGACCTGGCAATCTGCTCCCGCCGAGGAGCAAGCCCTATAGGGAGTTCTACTCTGTAACACATAGGGTCTCCATGAGTTGGAATCAACATGAGGGCAACAGATTTGTTTTGTTTTTATTCGGTTGTTGTTGTTCTTGTTATTATTTTGCATGAGTGCTATTCTCCTGTATCAATCTCCAACTTGCTACTTTTACTTCACAAAATGCTTTGGAGATTCTTCATTTTCAGCACAGACGGGTTAGCTTTTGTCTTTCAAAGTCCGGTAGAGTTTTCTGTAGTATGCATAGACCATACTTTGTCCATCCAGTCCTTATGTAGTTTTTAATTTGGTAAAAATATATGTAACAAAATACTTGCCATGTCCACATTTTTTACATGTACAATTCGGTGACATTAATTATGTTTATCATATTGTACGACCATTACCACTGTCTGTTTCCAAAGGTTTCCATCACCCTACAGTGCCCCCTACATCTACCTCCAATACTTACAGATGGGCATTTAAGTGGTTTCCAATTTTTCAATATTTCAATATTACAATCCATGCTACTCTGAATATCTTTGCTCATGCCTACTTGGACACTGGTGTGAGTGTTTCTCTAGGGTGTGACTGAGATGAGGACCTTCTGACTTATAGAGAAAACCAGTTGCCGTTGAGTTGATTCTGACTAATGGCGACCCCATGTGTATTATAATAGAACTGTACTCCATAGGATTTTCGATGGCTGCTTTTTTTGGAAGTAGATCGCCAGATTTTTCTTCCAAGGTGCTTCTGGATATGCTTGAACTTCCAACCTTTTGGTTAAGCAGCTGAGTGCATTAACCGTTTGCATTACCCGGGGAAGGAATGGTTTTGTCTTTTTTTTAAACAAGTTTTTAAAAACTGTGGTGAAAATTGCATAACAAAACATAGAGAATTCAACAATTTCTACATGTACAATTCAGTGACATTTACACATTCTTCAAGTTGTGCCCCCATTCTCCATATCCTTTTCCAAACTTTTCACTACTATTAACATAAACTCAATGCTCCCTAAGCAAAAACCCTCTCTTTCCCCTCTCTCCCATCCCTGATAACAATCATCTTTGGTTTCTATATATTTGCTTATTTCATATAAATGAGATCATATAGTATTTGTCCTTTTGCTACTGACCTATTTCACTCAGCTTGCCAAAAGTGAAGCAGGCTTGAAGCACTTACTGATGAAGATCAAAGACTACAGCCTTCGGTATGGATTACACATCAACATAAAGAATACAAAAATCCTCACAACTGGACCAATAAGCATCATGATAAGAAGAGAAAATATTGAAATTGTCAAGGATTTCATTTTACCTGGATTTACAATCAACACCACTGGAAGCAGCAGTCAAGAAATCAAATGATATAGTGTATTGGGCAAATCTGCTGCAAAAGACCTCTTTAAAGTGTTCAAAAGCAAAGATGTCACC